TTCAATGTTTTGTCATAAAGCTACATCTGAAAATTACAAAAAGTATTCAGATATTTAGATAAGTTCAAATAGATTTTTGTTAGTAACTTTTTAAGTAGTGTCCATGAAAAAATGTCCACTTCACAACAATAACAAACAATTGACAATATAATCATCATTCTTTTATTTAGATTGTAGTCTTTCCTTTTACTTGCCACTAATACAACTTCCTTTAGTAAAATGGCGGTCATCTATGGATTCAGAGGATATAGTTCGTCTGCATTGAATCAATTGGAAGGTCCTTTTGATAGCGTACTTGTTTACTTGTCCACTTTGCATTATCTTTTTTTATACGCCTGTTTACGGGACGTATAATGGTATACCGTTGTCCGTCTGTCTGTCCGTCGTTAACATGTCGGACATTAACTCAAAAATGCTTTAACCAATTTGCATAAAACTTTGGTGAATTGTTTATATCTATTGATGTGAGCTCCCTTTCGTTTTTTATCAAATTTAGATTTACCGTTTCCGAGTTTTGGGGTTTTATTCATTAAAAAAAGGGGGATTTTCCAGTTTTCAATCAATAAGTCAAGAATGCTTTCACCAACTTGCAAGAAATTTTGGTGAATTGTTTATATCTATTGACATAAGTTCCCTTTCCATTTTTATAAATTTAAGATTTTACGTTTCAGAGTTACAGGGTTTTATTCATAAAAAAAGGGGGGGGGGGTTTCCAGTTTTCGGACAAAAACTCAAAAATGCTTTCAGCAATTCTTATGAAACTTTGGTGAATCGTTTGTATGTATTGATGTAAGCTCCCTTTAGAATTTTATTAATTTTACATTTTACATTTCTGAGTTATGGGGTTTTATTCATTAAAAAAAGGGGTGATTTTCCAGTTTTCTGACAATAACTCAAAAATGCTGTCACCAATTCTCATGAAACTTTGGTGAATTGTTTATATCTATTGATGTAAGCTCCCTTTACAATTTTCATAAATTTCTAATTTGACATTGAGAATTAATTGAACTTTATTTGTTTATAGTCTGACAACAGATTTACTTAGTATTGCACAACAGCAAGAAATCTTTATTGAATATAAATTCAATTCATATAACCAATTTCAAGTTCTTTGACTACATTTATTCAGAAATCTATAATATGTCAAAAATTTAATAACAATCCAAATTCAGACCTGAATCAAGCTTGAATATTGTGTCCATTTTTGCCCCAACTGTTCAGGGTTGGACCTCTGCAGGCGTATCTAGCAGCGCTCAGTGAAGCAGTTTATTACGAAATGTTGACCTCAAATCATAAAAAACTTGGGAGTTCATGAAATAAAATGTATTATATAAGAAAATATTCATAAAAAACATGTACCTGAGAAACTGGGTGTAACAACAATGGCTGCTAACATGTAAATATGTCCACTGCGCAACTGTCAACTACGCAACATTTCATTGTGGTGTGGACACCACCCATTGCGAAGTGAACACAGATTGTTTCATAGGGGACATATATCGTTACGCAATGGACATTTCTGAATATTTATTGAACACACAATATGTCAGTGTAACAACAGGTCGATGTACATGTATTGTTTATCCTGTTTCCAGTTTCTGTTATAGTTTTATATTCTAACCTACTCTGAAAATTTCGATTATAAAAAAAAAAATCACAGAAATTCTATATAGGTTGGCCTGCAATTTTTGTTTTGTGCATGTTATTTTTATCAATTAGTTATTAATAAAGAATGATTCTATAGCAATTGGAATTGTGGATGTAAACCCTACCATATGGAGAGCTGCACCCTGTTTTCTGTCAATAATCAATATAATTAAGATCATAATTGATATCAAAATATTTTTATTTATAAAGCAATATCACAATTTACTAAGATTAACCTTACTTCTATCACCCTCTTCAAATTAGTAAACAGCCTGTTTACTTCAAACCTATTGAAAACCCTGCATACTGATATCAAATTAAATTTTAATTAATGTTATCGTACATTTTTGTCGAGTCGCAGAAAGCTCAACATAGGAATAGTGATCAGGCGGCGGCAGCATTAGCTAACTTCTTAAAAGCTTTATATTTTATAAGGTGGAAGACCTGGATGCCTCATACTTTGTATATATATGCCTCATGTTACAAGTTTCCGTCAGTCACATGTCCAATGTCTTTGACCTCATTTTCATGGTTCAGTGACTACTTCAAAAAAAAGTTCAGAGTATTTGGAATGTTAAATTCTCTCTTATTATAAGTAATAGGATAACTATATTTGGTATGTGCGTACCGTGCAAGGTCCTCATGCCCGTCAGACAGTTTTCACTTGACCTCGACCTCATTTCATGGATCAGTGAACAAGGTTTAGTTTTCGTGGTCGTCCATATCTCAGATACTATAAGCAATAGGTCTACTATATTTGGTGTATTGAATGATTGTAAGGTGTACATGTTCAACTGGCAGGTGTCATCTGACCTTGACCTCATTTTAATGGTTCAGTGGTCATAGTTTAAGTTTTTAACTCACCTGGCCCAAAGGGCCAAATGAGCTTTTCTCATCACTTGGCGTCCGTTGTCCATCGTCCTGCGTCCGTAAACTATTACAAAAATTTTCTCCTTCGAAACTAATGGGCCAAATTTGACCAAACTTGGCCACAATCATCATTGGGGTATCTAGTTTAAAAAATGTGTCCGGTGACCCGGCCAACCAACCAAGATGGCCGCCATGGCTAAAAATAGAACATAGGGGTAAATTGTAGATTTTGGCTTATATCTCTGAAACCAAAGCATTTAGAGTCCGTTGTTGGGTTGCTGCCCCTGAATTGGTAATTTTAAGGAAATTTTGCCGTTTTTGGTTATTATCTTGAATATTATTATAGAAAGAGATAAACTGTAAACAGCAGTAATGTTCAGCAAAGTAAGATCTACAAATAAGTCAACTTGACCAAAATGGTAAGTTGACCCCTTAAGGAGTTATTGCCCTTTATAGCTATAGTCAATTTTTAACCATTTTTTGTAAATTTTTGTAATCTTTTACAAAAATCGTCTCCTCTGAAACTACTAAGACAAATTTAAACAAACTTGTCCACAATCATCATTAGGGTATCTGGTTTTAAAAATGTGTCCGATGACCCCTCCCTGGAACCAAGATGGCCGACATGGCTAAAAAATAGTACATAGGGTAAAATGCAGTTTTTGGCTCTATCTCTGAAACCAAAGCATTTAGAGCAAATCTGACAAGGATAAAATTGTTCATTAGGTCAAGATCTATCTGCCCTGAAATTTTCAGACCAATCAGGCAACACGTTGTTGGGTTGCTGCCCCTGAATTGGAAATTTTCAGAAAATTTTGCAGCTTTTGGTTATTATCTTGAATATTATTATAGATAAAAATAAACTGTAAACAGCAATAATGTACAGCAAAGTAAGATCTACAAATAAGTCAACATGACCAAAATTGTCAATTGACCCCTTAAGGAATTATTGCCCTTTATAGTCAATTTTTTACAATTTTCATAAATTTTGTAAATTTTTGTAAATTTTTGCAAAATATTTTCCACTGTAACTACTGGGCCAAGTTCATTATAGATAGAGATAATTGTAAGCAACAAGAATGTTCAGTAAAGTAAGATCTACAAACACATCACCATCACCAAAACACAATTTTGTCATGAATCCATCTGTGTCCTTTGTTTAATATGCACATAGACCAAGGTGAGCTACACAGGCTCTTTAGAGCCTCTAGTTGTGTTTTTGGTCTGTTTTTCTAATACTGTATGCAATAGGTCAACTGTATTTGTTGTATGGAAATATTTTACGATGTACATGTTAGTCTGGCAGGTTTTATTTGATCTTGACCTCATTTTCACGGTTCATTACTCAATGTTAAGTTTTTGTGTTTTGGTCTGTTTTTCTCATACTGTATGCAGTAGGTCAACTATATTTGGTGTATGGAAATATTTAACGATGTACATGTCAGTCTGGCAGGTTTCATTTGACCTTGACCTCATTTTCATGGTTCATTGCTCAATGTTAAGTTTTTGTGTTTTGGTCTGTTTTTCTAATACTGTATGCAGAAGGTCAACAATATTTGGTGTATGGAAATATTTTACGATGTACATGTCAGTCTGGCAGGTTTTATTTGACCTTGACCTCATTTTCATGGTTCATTGCTCAATGTTCAGTTTTTGTGTTTTGGTCTGTTTTTATTAAACTTTAAGCAATAGGTCAACTATATTTGGTGTATGGAATGATTGTAAGGTGTATATGTCTGTCTGGCAGGTATCATCTGACCTTCACCTCATTTTCATGGTTGATTGGTCAGTGTTCAGTTTTCCTGGTTATCTTTGTTTCTTAGATACTTAAAGCAATAGGTCAACTATATTTGATGCATGGAATGATTTTAAGGTGTACGTGTCTGTCTGGCAGGGTTCATCTGACCTTGACTTCATTTTCATGGTTCATTGGTCAGTATAGAATTTCCATGGTTTGGTCTGTTTCTTTTATACTATAAGCAATAGGTTATCTATATTCTGTGTATGGAATGATTGCATTAAAGGTGTACATGTATTCCTGGCTTGGTTTATCTGACATTGACCTCATTTTCTTGGATCATAAATGTTAATGTGTTGAAGTAAAATCTTTATATGTAGGACTATCAACATAAAATCAATGGTCAGTATAGTAGGCGAGACATTTCAGCATGTGCACTCTTGTTATACTTGGAATAGAGAAAATAAACAAGTGTGACCTATGTATACATTTGTCTGACCATGTGCTCAAAGTTTATCAGAACATGTGCTTTGTGTCATTGAAATTATGTGTTAGTAGTGTAATGATGCTCATTGCAAGATAAGTCGTAAAATTTGTTGAATAGCTATAGCTATTATGCATTGTTGACCAAATTATTTGCCTATTTTGATTTTAAAAATCTAAATCTGTTGAATGTTTCTCATAGTAAAAATTGTTGTCAAAAATATGGTTCTATGTTTAGGAAAATATTGTTTTGTATTTTCAGGTGATTTCGCTGTTTTGTTAAGAGCGGGGATGACTGTTAAACAAGCCCTGGTATATAACTGTGTATCGTCTGTTCTTGCCTTCATGGGTATGTGTATTGGTATTTTCATTGGTAATATAGATGGTGCTAGTCTATGGATTTTCGTTGGAGTAGCTGGCATGTTCCTGTACATTGCTTTAGTTGATATGGTAAGATAATTAGGGATAAAGGATATGGGTTAAACCACCCATATATCCATTGTAAGGACTGTTTCCCAAATTACAGCCAGTCAAGGGTATAACTCTATAGGGTTATTAGAGAACAATAACATACATTTGTTATTGTGGACTAAAAAATCCAAAAACTGTGACAACATATGTATGTTACACAGTGTTCCAGCTAGGATTTGAAAATAGAGGGGCGCGTTTTAAAAAAAGGGCACTTTAGCGCGTTCTCACTGAAAAAAATCAAATACTTAATATTACCACATAATGACATATTTTCAGCAAGCATATAGCTAAGTTAAATACTCTATACTATCATGACTATTACATACATTGAAAATTGTGTAGGTTTGGTTGTGAATTTAAATAAGAGTGCCAATGAGACAATTGTCTTTATTTCGCCGATGATCTTGAGAAATAGATTAATTCAACAAATAAGTTTGTTAATTCAACTTTGAAAGTTTATTATCAATTTAACAAGCATCTCCGTATATTTCATGTTGAGCGTATCTAATAATATCAATAAGTTTGTCAAAACGGATTTCAATAAGAAAATTGATACAAAAATCGGACTTTCGAGAGCTCCGTAATCGGCACAATAATAAATTAATTCAACTTTGAAAGTTTATTATCAATTCAACAAGCATCTCCGTATATTTCATGTTGAGCGTATCTAATAATATCAATATTAAAGTTAGTCAAAACGGATTTCAATTTAAGAAAAATGATATAAAAATCGGACTTTCGAGTGCTCCGTAATCGGCGGAATTTACAATAGAAGAACAATTGCGATATCTGATAGAAACCTTTCTTCTTCTCGATTTTTCATAAAAGTAAAGAATTAAATTATTTTTTTACCTTTGATGGTCATTATTCTTGAAAAAAGATGTAATAGACTGGCAAGTCTTTGATATTTTCTTCTTGTCATTTTCGAGTTGGTCAATTTTTCTTTTTTACGTCGGCATTTTGCGTGTTGACGATTTACAATATACTATTGGAATGATTCTTTTTTAACGAACGTTATTTTATAAATAACAAATACAATAGAAATGGACATCGTTCACATTTATTTTATAAATTCTATTTTGGATCGTCAGGTGTTAAAAAACAATTCATTTAACTTAGATGTTTGGTACTTCCGGGCAAAGGGATTAGACAGGGTCGTAAATTTCACCTGATTAAGTTTTTGACTCTAATCAAATAGGTGATTATATACAGGTAACAAGTGTCAACAATTTTGATCTGTTGTCTTAATGAAGTGTGTGTATAAAGAACTCAACCAAATGGCGACAATATGAGGAAAAAAGATCGTTTTTTAAAACTTTTTTCAAAAGGGCACAGAGGGGTGCAGGGGCGCATAAAAAAGGCAGAGGGGCGCAAAATTTCGGGGGCGGGGCGCTGCGCCCCTCCATTTCATTCTAGCTGGAACACTGTTACATGTTTCAAAGGGGCAAGATACATCCTTTGTTTTGTTAAAATGTATACAGGTTCTATTGATATTATTAGAAATTAATTATTGTCTTTATGTATACTTTACTATAGAAAGATATAACAGTTCATAATTTGCCAATCATGCATAGTACACCTATGTTATTACAGAAAAAATATGCCTGTAACAACTTCTCTACATACCTTCAAAGCCTTTGCTCAGACATATATCATGCTTAATCACAATGTATTTTAATTTCTTGTAAGAAATAATTATCAGAGCATGTAATGAGGTTCTGTGCAAGCTTCCAAGTAATTCCCAAGTGTCTCATATAATAAGTTACATGCCTGTAATAACTAAGCCTTGTTATTACAGCTAAGTTTATTCCTTAAAGGGAAAATTCACGATTTTTCACTTATCATCTTATTATGTTTATAATATCATAAAAAACATATTCACCAAGTTTTATCTAGATATGGACACTAATAAAGAAGAAAATTGGAAATTATTAATCTTATTTATGAGAATTTCCTGTATACTATGACATACTTTTAAACTATTGCATGCCGGGAGTGGAAATAATTTCATTTAAAGTCTTGGTTCATCATTAATGATCTAATTACACAATTTAAAGCGCGTCAATAACTATTTTGCACAGCTATTTACCAAATAAAAATTAAAAAGATAAAGCGAACAACTTTTTAAATTCTTTAGGTACAGGTAGATATATTTTATGGACTTCTGATATGGTCATAGTCATGATAGTAATAAAAGAGGAATCGTACAATAATATATTTTTGTAAAATATTATTTCATACGGCTATGTCATGTATGTTGAACAAACATATATAACTGATAATGTATGTTTTCTGACCTTTTAATTAAGTCTAGTAAACATTCCCACTAGGACTGTGTAAATACAATGTGTGTATTATACTCTGACACTACCTGATGAAGGCGTGTTTAAATTCACGATAATTAAAAGCTTAGCATTTTGTAATTCTATTCTTCTGATCTTCACTTGATATTTGCTGAAACTTGACAAATTTTAATATTACTGTAAAGATAATTAATAAATGATATTTTAATAAGTTACTTATCTTCAATAGTAGATCCCCACTTTCTATTGTTCCTTCAGTTAAATATTGGTTACGAAATTCCTTCGCAAATTTTATAAGTGGATAATTTGAAAACTGTTGCTAATAATAATGCCATGCCAAAGCTAAAGGGATTGAAATTCTGCCCGTTTCCTCCACCAAATCTGTCACCAAGAGCCAATATCCAAAGTTAAAGTTCAATTAAAATAATTCCACTAAATGTTTCATTATCACTTGAAGTCCAAAGATTGGTTAAGTTCAGTTGATGATTTTCCTCAGAGTAGCCGAGCCTGGTTGGCTTTGGAAGCACTCCTTTCTGGATGACTCCGATGAGACTAGACTGACGAATAACTTTTTGACCCCGATATTTAAGGCGAATGCTGAAAACTACTCATAAAATGACAGACATTGATAATTTTGATAATTGAGATAATTTGAGTATTAATAATATTATGAATATTGTTTACAATGTCCAAAAGTGAAATATGAATAATGTCAATTACAGAGATACAAGTTAATTACATTTATGATACTAATTAAAACATAATATTGCTCATATTAAATAATGACAATTGACAAGATACCAAAATGTTACTCGGAGCAATAATTAAAAAACGACATGTTTCACAAAATTTACCTGAGTAATTAAATTAAAATTTGTCATACAATTATTTCATAATTTCATATTTTCTAAAATAATATATTTCTCAATAAAATTCACTTTAAAACTTTTACATAAAAGAACACCTATGATATCTTGTTCTAAGAATATGTAATAATAAGCTTTGGATTTTTGAAATATTTTGGCCTCGAGCATCACTGAAGAGACATTGATTGTCGAAATGCGCATCTGGTGCAGAAAAGTTGGTACCGTTTATGTTAATAAATCATGTCAGTAAAATTGTATTTGGCATCAAGTTATAATTGCAATAACAATGTGAATTATTTCTCTTCAGCTTCCACAGGTGTCGGATGTTGATACAAAGAAGGGAGAGCATCCGCTGTGTCATCTTTTGTTACAGATTTCAGGAATGTTGTTAGGAGGTGGAATAATGTTTCTCATTGCTATATTTGAACATGATATGAAGAATATCTTCTGATATGAATCAGCTGATCAAACTATAAGATAGTGCATCCACAAACTGGTAACCTAAAAGAATGACTGATGATGTAGTATGTGTATGAGGGTTTATGTGGAGATAGTTATTGATTTGCATTAAACCAATTTTAGAAATCCTTTGTGAACAGATGAAATCTCGAGAATTTTTTCCTTTTATTTGGTGTATCTTTTTTTAGACAGTATACTTATTATGGAATTATATTAAATGAAATTGAACAATGGTCTTCATTGAATAGAAGTGGTTCATAATATTGCTTCTATTTATATGTGCATTTATATTTTATTTTCCTTTCACCTCAACAAAGTTGAAGAAGTGAGAATTTTCAGTCGCTGTTTCCTCAGGCCTGGTCAATGATTTGTATAAGTTTGTGATTAGGTCAGTTTAAAGGAAACTAGTAATGGTATGTCAATGATATTTGGTAGTTGCATACGAATCCCATTTCCATGGAGATTATTTGGCCCACCTTCTCATTCATGGTACTTTTGATTAGTTTATATGTAAAGGTTTGTGATTAGATCAGTTTAAGATGAACCACTAATGGTAAGTCAAAATTGTTTGGTATGCATTAGCAAATCTTATTTCCATGGGTATATATGCCCTTGCTCAGTCATGTTGCAAAGACTTTTGTACTTTTGCACAGTTTTCACATTTGTGATAAGTTAAGTTTTAAGGAGAATTTTAATGATCTGTCAATGATATTTGATATGCAGCTGTATTAGCATTGCCATATCTTATTTTCACAGCAATATTTTGGCTCAGCACCTTCAGTCATGGTTCCTTGACTTTGAATGTTTTTGATTGTTTACATGTTAAATATTGCCATTTTTATTTCAAATTTGAATTTTACTGTCAAAATGTATACATCATGTACATACAGATGAGACAGTTTTGTTAAGTATACCTTTACAGTTCTCAGTTAAGGAGTTTAAAAAAATACATTAGAAAAATATATGATTTATGTCCATGTCAATTGTTGTCTTTACATGTAACTATAATTGGGATTGGAATGACAAGAGAAATGGAGAATAAGTGACAAGTCTAAAATTAGTTTATATATATTTTAAAAGTATCTGTTTATTTTTTGTTTTTAAGTTGTGTGTGTTTTTTTTTTTTGTGGGGTGGGGGGTAGGGGTTTGATGCTTTTAAGATGAAATGTTATATTAGAATTGTGTGTGATGAAAAATCTTGTCCATGTATTCAAAGTTAAAAGGTATGGATTTAAAAGATGTTTAATGATGAGATTAAAGAATTTGTAAACTTGAAAAGTTCAATTCTAAGTATTCCTATTTCATTAATGTTGTATTATTTTTTATTGACTTTAAATGCATTGATGTTATGAACATCTTATATTTTGTGGACCATTTTTTGCATATTGGTTAAAGGTATCATTTAGGTGGTTTTATAATATCAAATATGTCCTTTTACAATATTTGTTTTGTAGATACTCATTAGATGACAATGATTACAGACTACAGTATTTTTTATGCCCCGCCGTAGCGGTGGGGGCATTAAGTTTTACCCTTGTCCGTCTGTACGTACTTCCCAAAATTGGTTTCCGTTCTCTAACTTGAGCTTGCCTCAAACAAAAGTTATGAAACTTATACACAATGCTTATTACCACAAAACATAGATCAAGTTTGAATATTGGTGGCGTCACTGTAACCGTTCTAGAGTTATGCCCCTTTATAAATGGAAAAATTGCAAAATTTTAGTTTCCGTTCTGTAACTTAAGTTTGCCTCTATCAAATGTTATGAAACTTATAGACAATGCTAATTACCACAAAACACAGATCGAGTATGAATTTTGGTGGCGTCACTTTAACCGTTCTAGAGTTATGCTCCTTTATAAATGGAAAAATTGCAAAATTTTTAGTTTCCGTTCTCTTACTTAAGTTTGCCTCGACCAAATGTTATGAAACTTATACACAATGCTAATTACCACACAACACAGATCAAGTTTGAATTTTGGTGGCGTCACTTTAACCGTTCTAGAGTTATGCCCCTTTATAAATGGAAAAATTGCTAAATTTTTATTTTCTTCTAAATATCAAGTAAATTTTAAAATTGGAGTTATCTTCCTTTGTCCATGATTATAGTTGAATCAACTACAATCAATGCTTTATACAATGCAATGTTTAATTTTGACTTTCACTGATAAAACACAGATTAAGTTGAATTTGGGTAGTGTCACTTTAACCATTATTGAGTTATGCCCCTTTATAATTCGAAAGATTGCAAAATTTTTAGTTTCCATTCTGTTACTTAAGTTTGCCCCAACCAAACATTATGAAACCTATACACAATATTCATTACCACAAAACTAAGATCAAGTACAAATTTTTTGTTTCTGTTTTCTATCTTTAGTTTGCCTCAACCAAATGTTATGAAACTTATACACAATGCTTATTACTACATAATACAGATTAAGTACGAAATTTGGTGGCGACACTTTCACCATTCTTGAGTAATGTCCCTTTATAAACATAAAAATTGCTGAATTTTTCGTTTTCGTTCTCTAACTTTAGTTTGTCTCAACCAAATGTTATAAAACTTGTACACAACAGTTCTAGAGTTATGCGTGTTTACATCACAGTTTTTTAGTTTCTGTTCTCTACTTAAGTTAGCCTCAACCAAATGTTATGAGACTTATACACAATGCTTATTACTACAAAACTCAGATCAAGTTTAAATTTGGGTAGCGTCACTTTTACCGTTCTTCAGTTATGTCCCTTCATAACTATATGATATGCAAGCAGGGGCATCATCTGTGTCCACATGTGGACACTATCCACATTTATTCTCCTCTCATACAGCCAGTTCTTAGTAGTGTGATGTGGCCTTGTGATAGAGATGATCTCTTGTGAGGTTTCAATTACCGAAAAAATACTGCCTATAGGAACAATTCATTTTGCATAATAACATGTGCCCCCTCAAATTGGGCCTTATTGGGGAAGGACAACCTTTACAGTAACATGTATTTTATAAGAATTGTAATTATTCCCCTTGCTACAAAGTACAGAAAGGGTATATAGTTTTTTCATTTCAGATACTTTTTATCCAATTACAATCATGCATATATTTATGCTCACATATAATAAGAGAAGGATCTCATTGATTTTGAGGTCATTACCTCAAAAGTCAAGGTCGCAATTATTAAAAATAGACCAAAATTTGTGCAAAAAGTGGTTTCCTAATCGCCGAAGTAGTTTATATCAGATTGCAACCATACGTGAATTAATGCTCACACATATAATGAGATATTTAAATTCTAGAGGTGTTGACCCATAAAATGATAAAGGTAATAATAAATTCGCTTTATACATGGATTAGTTCTCATCATTTTGTGTTTCCCTTAAAGCCTCTGATCAATACATGTAAAAAGACAAAATAAGTACAGGTATAATATAACATTGGTGTTTGAATTGTAGTGCCGAAAAGAAATTTGTTTTATATATATTTAGTTCACCTATACCAGGGGACCAGTTTGACATACATGAATTTTATGGTCACTCGGTGTTGACCATTATTGTTAATGTTTTGGCCTACCTAGGCAGAAATATCTGATGACCCATTGCCATTATTTTGTGTTCAACCATCATTCATTGTTAACCTAACAGCTTGCCAAGCCCTAAAGGCTAATGTGACACATTGTTATGATTTTATGTTCAACCATTTTATATGATAAAGCCCATAGGGTTAGAAGGAGGTATTGTTTTTCACTTTGTGTTCAGCAATCTTTTATTGCTGATATAAAAAAATCTATTTATTCTGCAATTGGATACATTGGTATCACCTATGTGGTCCAAATGTTTGGTCATTTATTTTTTTTTATCAAATCAAGTTTATTGATTTGATTCAAGTTTATTGATTTGATTCAAGTTTTTCTCAATAAAAGTTATAATTACAATCCTTTGTATATCTCAATTTGTGTACTGTTTTATAGCTATACAAGTCAAAGACCAGTTACTGTTAATTATCAGTTACCATCATCTGACATTTAATGTAATGACAGCTCACTGCGTAAATAAGGCAAAGTGCTGTTATCTTCATACATAAGCTTTACACATGGATTAGTTCTCATCATTTTGTGTTTCCCTTAAAGCCTTTGATCAATACATGTAAAAAGACAAAATAAGTTCAGTTATAATTTAACATTGGGGTTTGAATTGTAGTGCCGAAAAGAAATTTGTTTTATATATATTTAGTTCACCTATACCAGGGGACCAGTTTGACATACATGAATTTTATGGTCACTTCGGTGTTGACCATTATTGTGAATGTTTTGGCGTACCTAGGCAGAAATATATGATGACCCATTGCCATTATTTTGTGTTCAACCATCATTCATTGTTAACTTAACAGCTTGCCAAGCCCTAAAGGCTAATGTGACACATTGTTATGATTTTATGTTCAACCATTTTATATGATAAAGCCCGTAGGGCTAGTAGGAGGTATTGTTTTTCACTTTGTGTTCAGCAATCATTTATTGCTGATATAAAAAAATCTATTTATTATGCAATTGGATACATTGGTATCACCTATGTGGTCCAAATGTTCGGTCATTTATTTTTTTATCAAATCAAGTTTATTGATTTGATTAAAGTTTTTCTCAATAAAAGTTATAATTACAATCCTTTGTATATCTCAATTTGTGTACTGTTTTATAGCTATACAAGTCAAAGACCAGTTACTGTTAATTATCAGTTACCATCATCTGACATTTAATGTAATGACAGCTCACTGTGTAAATAAGGCAAAGTGCTGTTATCTTCATACATGTTATTTTTCATTATAAAAGGTCTTTTTTAATTGATCCATATAGAACAGGAAAAGTTTTCTATTTCTTATTGCCTAGTGGTGAGACATGAATGAGGCAACATGACATCCTTTATGATTATTCCATAGAATAGCACACACTTGTGTTTGCTGGTAAAGATTTAAAGTCTCAGTTTATTGTGCTAGACCTACCTTTTGCAACCTTTCAGTTGTTACAATATTTTCATCCAGACTTCCTGTTAAACAATTCAAGAAATGCTGTGAATTTCTTACAGCGACTGGTACAAGACCAGAATCTATGCTTACAAAAAAATGTATATGTTAGGAAATCTAGATCTGGTGTGACCTAAATACTCAACATTTAGTTCACTGAGCACTTGTTTGGACTGCCAATTTATTGTATTCCATTTATGAAGAACATATCACTTTTTTTTATTTTCATAATGTAAGGGGGTTGAAAATTAAATTTTTGAAGATGTTTTTGTGTTTATTGTACATGTACCTGTGTGGTTTATTTTTAGATGTCATTATTGATTAAATGTATCAAAATCTTAATAAATTTTATACATCTACAGTTTATTGGAAAGATGGCTATAGCTTACTATAGCAATATACTTTCCTAAGGCATCGGCCTTAAACCGGAAGTTGAACAGACTATCGCAGGTGTTCTACTCCTAGATAATGTAGTACCAGGGTTTGAATACTAATTCTAGGAAGATGCTTTTGAAATTTTGAGTTACTTCTATTTTGATTAGATTACAGCTTGAATTAAAATGTACTGAATGTTCATCGATAATTCAAATGAATTCAACTTCATTTTGAAAATGGCTATCAGAAACACTACATCGCGGATCTGCGCTGCTCGGAAATTAAAATCAATACACATCTACACGAGACAGCAGTTTCTACGTTATGCTTTTATCGGTATTCCCCAGACATGCGTGAGATCCATATATGTGTACAACAATCCCGGTTTCAGGGGTTTCCTCCCGTCCTCCAGTGGAAGAGAAAATAAATACCGTGTTTAAAATATTTCATGAATGAACATTTTTCGACGCTATTTTTACTACGATTATTACAAATGTTTATTAAAGACGTAAAAGCCCGAGTGTATTGAAAGTAACCTGGTTTCTCATCTCGGCCCATAACAGACTCGGAATATAACAAACTCGGCCTATTACAAAATCGGACTATAACAAAATTCGTATATACTATTTGTTATTAAGTCTCCCAAACAAAGTTTGGAGACTTATTGTTTTTGCGCAGTTCTTTTTATTTTTTTTTCTTGGGGTCTATTTATGGGTATTTTGAGGGCCTACAGAAGGGAGGGATTTACTAAATAACCCTATGGGATTTAATTAAGTCTCCCAAACGAAGTTTGTGAAGACTTATTGTTTTTGCTCAGTTCTTATTATTATTATTATTATTATTATTCTTCTTCTTCTTCTTCTTCTTCTTCTTCTTCTTCTTCTTCTTCTTCTTCTTCTTCCGCCGCTTTTAAATTTGAACTTGTCCGCACCTGTTCTCCAAAACCGCTTGTCGGATTAACTTAGGGTTTCACAATATGTTAGACTAACATGTCTAGTGGTGCAATCAGGGTTTTGTTTTTGCAATGGGGTTTATAAAGGGGTACTTTGAGGGGCAAAAAGAAAAGAGGGTTTACTATAGAACCCTATGGGATTTTATTTTTTTAAATTTTCAAATGATTATAAATTGAAAACCGTTCGTGATAGACACAAACTTTTTAATTGAAAATGTTCTAAATGATAAAGCCCATTAAATGAAATACAGGGTTAGTCCCCAGGGGTCACCCCCCACCCCCTGCCATTTAAGAAAGTTCTAATACCTTGTAAGTGGTCAAGATCCCCACCCCTAAACCATATATATTCTGGTTTGTCATGCTAAGATGGTTTGAATGATATACAGGGTTAGTCCCCAGGGGTCATCCCCACCCCCTGTCATTTGAGAAAGTTCTAATATCTTGTAAATGGTCGAGATCCCCACCCCTAAACCATATATATTCTGGTTTGTCATGATAAAGCACATCAAATGTTATACAGGGTAAGTCCCCAGGGGTCACCCCCACCCCCTGCCATTTAAGAAAGTTCTAATATCTTGTAAATGGTCGAGATCCCCACCCCTAAACCATATATATTCTGGTTTGTCATGATAAAGCACATCAAATGAAATACAGGGTTAGTCTCCAGGGGTCACCCCCACCCCTTGCCATTTAAGAAAGTTTTAATATCTTGTAAATGGTCGAGATCCCCACCCCTAAACCATATATATTCTGGTTTGTCATGATAAAGCACATCAAATATTATACAGGGTAAGTCCCCAGGGGTCACCCCCACCCCCTGCCATTTAAGAAAGTTCTAATATCTTCTAAGTGGTCAAGATCCCCAACCCTAAACCATATATATTCTGGTTTGTCATGCTGAGATGGTTTGAATGATATACAGGGTAAGTCCCCAGGGGTCATCCCGACCCCCTGCCATTTGAGAAAGTTCTAATATCTTGTAAATGGTCGAGATCCCCACCCCTAAACCATATATATTCCTATTTGTCATGTCTCGAACATTTGAATGACGTATACGGTCAGTCCCCAGGGGTTCCCCCCACCCCCAATGTTCTAATATCTTGTAAATGGTTGAGATCGCCACCCCTAAACCATATATATTCCTGTTCGTCATGTAATGAACATTTGAATGACGTATAGGGCCAGTCCCAGGGGTTCCTCCCCACCCCCAATATTCTAGTATCTTGTAAATGGTTGAGATCCCCACCCCTAAACCATATATATTCTGGTTTGTCATGCCAAGATGATTTGAATGATATACAAGGTTAGTCCCCAGGCATCACTAATGCATATAACTTTACTGGACCAAACCAATTTTCAATGGACGTTGCCCAATGTCAGGCGACCCTGGGAATTACGAATTATGGGAGCTTCGTTTGGGAGACTTCGTAACAGCACCCTGTTACAATCATTTCTTGTTTTTTTAAATTTTCAAATGACTATAACTTGAGAACAGTAAGTGATAGACACACGCGGTCTTCAGTAATGATCACAGGACAATAAAACAAATCAGATAAAATATAGGTTGAGTGCCTGGGGTCACCACCCCTTCAATTTGAGAATGAGCTTTTATCTTGTAAACAGTCGAGATTCCCACACCTTGAAACTATATATATTCTTGTATGGGACAATAAAACAAATCAAATGATATATAGGGGGAGTCCCTTGAGGTCACCCCATCCCATCCTGTTGGAGAACTTGTAAACGGTCGAGATCCCCATCCCAAAACCATATATATTCTTGTACGGGACAATAAAACAAATCAAATGAAATAAAGAGTCCCCTGAGAATCAACCCCTCCCCCGCCGCCCCCTTTTTTTGAGAACTTGTAAACGGTCGAGATACCCACCCCTAAACCATATATATTCCTATTCATGATTTCAAGAAAATTTGAATTACATACAGGGTTAATCCCTAGGCGTCACTTATGCATATCACTTTACTAGACCAAACCAATTTGTACTGGACTTTGTCCAATGTCAGGCGACCATGGGAATGACTAATTATGGGAGCTTTGTTTTGGGGACTTCGTAACAGCATCCTGTTACAATTATTTCTTGTATTAAGTAAAAAGTTTTAGAAGTCGGAAAAAAACGTTAACCACACAATCTACTAATCGTAGTCCGAGTTTGTTCAATATATAACAATTCAAACAAGAAAACTAACTGCTTAATTAGTCATAATACATTTTACTATTATAAAATACTTAATTACAGGCCCTTTACATTGGATGGTCACAGAAAGAAATTAACAGAGCTTTCTGTATATTTGATTATTTTAAATCTACAGTTTAAGGTTGCAATAGAAATTATCCAAATTTTACATAACAAACATATGAAAAAAGTGATTTTTGCTGATGAGACAATGGTTTAGGGAAAAACACCAAAGCTGTGGTTAAATACATATTTGAAGTAAAACACATCTACAACCTATTTGAAATAATACACATCTACCGTTGCAAACTTTCCACAGGTGCTATCCAGCACTTTGATTATAACTGTAGTGTGTATTTTTGTCTCGCCTTGACGGAGTCAAAAAGCGAGACATAGGTATGGTGTTTCTGGCGGCGGCGGCGTCAACAATGTATTGGTTTGTGATTAGGTCTAGTTCATGGTGAACCACTAGTGGTAGGTCAATGATATTTGGTATGCAGTTGTAATAGCATTGGCACATCTCATTACCATGGAGATTATTTGGCCCGCCCCCTCAGTCAAGGTCTATTGACTTTGAAACTTGGCTTAGTTTACATGTATTAGTTTGTGTGATTAGGTCAGTTTATGGGGAACCACAAGTGGTAGGTCAATGATATTTGGTATGCAGTTGTATAAGCACTGGCGTATCTCATTTCCATGGAGATTATTTGGCCCCGCCCCCTCATTCATGGTCTATTGACTTTGAAACTTTTGCTTAGTTTTCATGTATTTGTGATTAGGTCAGTTTAAGGGGAACCGTTAGTGGTAGGTCAATGATAATTGGTATGTAGTTGTATAAGCATTAGCACATCTCATTTCCATGGAGAATATTTGGTCCCTACCCCTCAGTCATGGTCTATTGACTTTGAAACTTTTGCTTAGTTTACATGTATTAGTTTGTGATTAGTTCAGTTTAAGATGAACCACTAATGTTTAGTCAATGATATTCGGTATACAAATGTATTGGCATTTGCAAGTTTCATTTCCATGGAGATTATATAACCCCACTAATAATTATGGTTCATTGACTTTGAAACTTTTACATAGTTTACAAGTTTATGTTAGTGTTTATGTTTGTTTAAAGGGAACGACTTATGAAAAGTCAATGCATGTATTTGGTTTGCAGTTGTATTAGCATTGGCACATCTCATTCCATGGAGATTGTTTAGCCCTGTACCTTTAGTCATGGTTCATTGACTTTGAATATTTGCATAACTTGCATGTTAAAGTGTTTCTATTTTAATTTAAACATTTGCATTATAAAAATAACAAATAGGCGAGACATATCTCTGTGATAACAGCTCATAATTTGAATATAGTCTTATTTTATTAATTTCATTGTAACAATGAAAAATAAAATAGGTTAAGAAATAAGCATCTATATCAAATATTTTTAGCCATGATATGATCAGTTCTGCATATTTAATTTAATATAAAAATAAGAAGATGTGGTATGATTACCAATGAGACAACTATCCACCAAAGTTCAAATGAAGTGGATGTAAGCAATTATAGGCAACCGTACGACCTTCAACAAAGAACATTTTTGGAACGATTATTTGTACTGTTAACCCTTTTTCATGCTTGATATCGACTGAGAGAGAGAAAAAAAAGAATAAATTTCTGAGCAGATATTTTCGAGAAAACGTAAATAATGTTAGTGTTTATGTTTGTTTAAAGGGAACGACTTATGAAAAGTCAATGCATGTATTTGGTTTGCAGTTGTATTAGCATTGGCTAATTGTAAATGTATACTTCCGCCTCGCTTACGTACATTCTATACATGTATTGACTTAGCTCA